TGACTGATGAATTTAACTTTATTCTAATTAACAGCAAGCACCAAACAGAAAAAAAGTCATATAAGCTAACAATGTCAAAAATTTGAATGATTTATAAAGGCAGCTGAGCTCATAATATTTTGATCTTATACTAATTCTCTTTTTAGACTATAAATAAATCATGCAGAGCAGGAATAAAACACTTTCACACGGTTTTCAAAAAGGGTATTATTTAAATAAACTGTATGTAAAAGAGGGAATTGGCTTCCAGGTAAGACAAGTGAAGGTAATCTGGAAATGTTGCTAAATATTTGTATAATTGCAAGGAAGAACAGCCGTTCAGCTGCTTCTATGACCTTAGAACACTTTACTGCTGAGTTTATGGGCTCAGTCTAGTTTCAAGTCTTACTGAATACAACGTGGAGTTCAATTTGTAAATGATGGCGCCAGCTAAAGTCAGTAAGTCCAGTAAAGCACAGCATTATAAAGGCAGGTCTACTTTGTGATTGATGACCTGCTAACTCATGAACATGAAAGGAAATCCAACCTTTGCTTACCATGTCCAGTTTCAAAATGATTCGATCAAATCTTTAAGATGGGACTGCACTAACCAGTGGATGATGGCAAGGAGAACACATCCATCTCATATATACAGTCTACGGTTTCTTTCTCATCCTGTAGCCATCTTTAAACTCCCACCCCTTTTATCAGTTAGAGTCCATTAAACTTTTTAAGGGGCTTTTAAACTGAACTTTGATGGCAAAGCAACAAAATGTAGTAGTACACTGCAGTAAAATCAGCTCAAATAGGCCTCTATGAAGTTGCAAATTAAAAATGGAGCATTAATAAATGCTGAACATAGGGTCACGGGTCGTGTTTGTGCATTCAGTCACTGCATTTAAACTTGCGCTTTTATTGATTTCTACCACCAGCTCACCGTTTGTTGATTGCAAATGCTGAAGACCACTCATTAAAATGTTAGCGATAATTGATGCTCATCTGTGTAGCCGAGCATGCTTCAGTATTCCGAGCTAATTTAGCTGTACCCTGCAGAGCGAGGGGGCTTGAGTGGGAGGACAACTTGGCACGAGGTGCGACTTCTTTTCCAACCCAATCTCTTTTCTCTGCATAATTATGTGAATTAAATTAATTGGGAATGTACATTTGCATATCTAGGTTATTTCTCTTATGGAGAAAAGGGTCTTTAGAGATTATAGAAACAATTACAAGGCAGTCAGACAGTAAAATACCTCCATTTCTTGCTTCACATCTACCATTTCCACTCAGTGTTTTACTCCAGGGAGGATTTGGCCTCTGGAGGAAAGATGTGATAACGTCACTTTGCAATATGTGCAGGAGTCAGAGGCATGAAGCAATTTAATGGACTTCACCTGACATCTTTAAATTACTCGTAGGTATTTATAATTTGTTTTGCCCAGGAGGGAACAGTTGAAATTAAGTTCTAAAGAAAATTTGATTGGAACTGTCTGATCTGATACTGGCTCATAAATGCTGGGAGAAAGACTTTTGTAAGAACACTGGGCCAAAAGCCAGAGCTTTCTAATCATATAAGGTGGTACATTAGGCTGTCAGAGGCGAATCGACTACTGGAACATGCTGCTCGAAAGGAAGCTACTTATTATTTTAAGTTACTTATATTTTTGTATTGAAAATTGCTCCAGTAGATGTCTGGAGACAGTCGCAGAAATGTTTCTTTTTGAGAAACAGTTATTATATCTCACCACAAAAAGGCAATTTTCACAGCACTAATATGAGCATTTTTCTAATTTATTTTGCCTCCATTCTTGCAAAAGTGATTCAGCAACTGCAGACACAACCAGTAGAGACTATAAAAACCTTCTGGGTCTGAAATGTGAAGCTAGTGTGGAAGTGCACGGGCATGTGACTCCTGTGTTTGCCAAAGGACTTCCCACCTCCCTTGCTCTGTGACCTCAGTAAAGTCTTTTTTTTATGGGCTCAATCACTAGTTTCAAGCCATACTGAATAAAACATGAAGTTAATTTGGGTAAATTATTTGTCATAATTAGCATAAAAAATAAAGATTAATCAGGGTATACTGATAGACCCATGATTGAAAAGTTATTAACCAGTAAGCATCTGATCATCTATGCACTCTGCTCACAGCAGGTTTCAAAGCACCAAGGGTACGATTGCATAGTCCAGATATCACCTCCTACTTAATCACTCTTCCTTGACCTCAGTGGAGCTTAAGTAATCCTTAACAGTGTTTCTGGTTGTCTACCATATTAAAACTAGAACTAGATACGCATCTAATTTCACTCCGTGTTTTCTCACAGTTGTAGCTGGAAACAAAGGCCATTGATTGAATGATTAGTCCCAATTACTCTCAAGCGGTCATCAGTTAAGTGACTGTCACTGCTCTACAAAGCTTTCTCAAAGACTTCCTTATGATAGTAAAGAGGTTCAAACCAAACCTCAGTGGTAAGCTTCCTGTGAGCCGCACCGTCGTTATTGCAGGTCTCTACCAATCGATGCTTTTGGAAATAGATTAATTACCCAAACATCCACGCAAAGCTAAATTGCAGTGGTATGTCTTCTAATTAGTGATTTTGCAGTCCTCTGTGCTCTAACACAAGCTCCACGTACAATGACCCTGAAAGCGAATCGGTTCTGCTTTATGCCAGAGAAAACAATGTTCTGCAGAGTTTTCTCCAAACGAGGCCGCCAAATAAATTGTCACTGTGACTTTATGATCAGGGTCACAGATGTCCACCCACCACAGAAGGCGATTTTGCAATTTAATGGCAGTCTGTAAACACCAAAATAACCCTTCACCAAGAGCAGTGGAAAAAAAATTACAATTTCAATAGTTTGTTAAATAATCAAGAAAATGTTTCAAGGACGTACTATTTCTGCTTCTCACACAGAATATATGAAAATAAACAAACAATTGGCATTTTGCGTTTCTTTCTTTCTTTCTTTCTTTTTTGTCCCACCAAACAAAAACCATGCTGCAGATGGAGATAAATACGCTCAGCTGCGTGGTCATCGTTGTTCACCCATGGCCACATTCATTGTATCCCCATTGTCTTTTTTCCACCCCGTTGCTTTCATGTGATGTTCAGCTCCATTCAGCTCAGCCACCTCATCAAAGGTCGTGCTGCACTTCCCCGCAGCCAGCGAGCGTGTTTGATATTCTGTTCTTTAAGCTGCGTCAAGAAAGAGGGCACTTAAAAACTTGAGCGTGTGTGTGATTATCTCTGTGCTCTCACATCAGACACAGTAATACACTCAGATGAAGAAAAATGGATTTGGGTTTAAACACACAACCACACAAAACAGAGAGAGAGCGAGGGAGTGAGCTATGATGTTATTATCTTCTTCCAGGTTATGCTTTGATTTTAAGGTTTAATGTTTTGAGCAAAGGCTAAGATCAAATTTGTCCTACCCCCCATCATAGTTAGTATGACCCACACTGTAGTATGATTTGTATTGTATTGGGTAAGTGTGTTTTTTATTTATTCAATTCAGTTTCCTAGCTTATGCTGAGAGTTGAGAAAGCTTGAACCAAGGTGCCATCTCCTGGTGCAACACAGTAATCTACCATTTCACGTGAAATAAGTGAATGCTGCCCCCTTTTGGTGACAAATATAAACTGTACAGTTTTGGAAAACACAAGAGCAATGTGCTGACTGTAAAATAGAATTTTGTTATAAGTATTAATGACTGAGTTAATAGCCTTTTAAAAAAAAATTAGATTCAGTTTGGGTCTTTGTATCTGATATTTAATTTAAAAAACTGTAAGTAAGTTAGAGTGCTTGGGTCGATGCTTTTTAAAAAGAAATTAAATCATCTTTATTGCAACACATATTAGATCCTCAACTGTCCTCCATTCTTGCTGAAAGAGGTTGAATTTCTACAAGAAACTTTAAGCTGCGCTTCCTTGACTCTCCTTGACCAGCATGGAGAGTCAAGGCTTTAACAGCTTAAGCTCATGATGGTTATCAGAAGGAAAATGAAACCTAAAGGTGATAGAATCCAGAATGGACCCACATAATTTTTTTTTAAAAAGACATAAAGATCAGTAAACATTTGTCCATGACACATAGCGGACCGTGTTTGCAGTGAGGTCATGGACCCAATAACTTCACCTGAACATTGAACTAAAAAACACCCATAAACAGTGAATATGTAGCACACTTACATATTTACGACGACAACAGGATGAACCTGTGTGGCGCAACGTGCGTTTTCAAGCTTCTTATAAAAAGAAATTCCCCTATATTGAATTTTGCCTTTACCGGTTGTTATAATCACGCTGCAGTTATTAAAGTACAGAGACACTTTTAGCCTGCTGTGTTAGACTGGGAGAAAAGTATAGCCATAGACCTGAGGTTAGGAAAGAACATGGATAGTATGAAGATTGCTGGTTCAGGCCAGATGTTTAAGTATATTACTTGTTGTTTTTCCAGAATCTCTTACCCAAGACAACAGGGATAGATGGGGGACATGACAGCAACACAGCTGAGTGCGTTTCTTTCCATCTCCAGCAGGGTTTTTGTTCAGTGGGACAAATAAGGAAATTATATGTCTTTGTAATAGGCAAAAAATAGTATATCCTTGAAACATTTTATTGATTACTAAGGATCTCACACACACATAAAACTTGTGTATGTATTTTTTCCATAACTCATTAAATAAAACATGTAATCAGTTAAAGGTTTTAGTGCAGATTTTATGTTTTGGTATATACATTTTATTTATACTTAAAAACAAGAAAATTAAATAGAAGAAAATGTTCGTTCCATTAAAAAGACAAATAAATAAAGTCAATTATGGCATGATAGTCTTATCCCTCTTCCTTGTTAATATTCCTTATAACGAGTTTAGCATATTATTAATTTATTTCCGTTTTCATTCATCATTAAAAAACAGCACAATCCAATTATTTATTCATGTTCTACATTTTTAAATCTAAAATTGTTTACAATTCAGTTTTAAAAAATATTAAATGACATTTTCCAGGAAAAAAATGAGCACAAATGTAAACACCAACACAACACTTGAACAAAAACTTACATTGTAACTATTCAAGCTAGTATTCATAGAAAGACTTTTCTTTGTCTCAAGGCTATTTCAACCGGTGACATAGTCGGTTCGCTGTCTTTGTAAAGTGGAACTTTGTGATGCCTCCATGTGACAAGAGCAATACGAATCACAAACATGATACAGGAAGCACTCAGGATCACAGCTGAGAAAAGAGAAGAGGAGATCAAATATTTTAATATAAATAATTAACAGTGTGCAGAAAAAAAGCTTTCTTCTTCTTCAAAAATCAAGAATGCTAATTTCACCTCAGTGCAAACTTTACCTGCAAAGATGTAAATGAAACTTCCCTGAGATTCTGAGTTGTTCAGGGTGCCTGTTAACCACAGGATTACCACAGGGTAGCATGTCACAACATAACGCACGTGCTTATCCAAGCAGAAGTTCTCTAACAGAAACCTGAACGCAAAGGAGGACAGAAACAAAGGATTGTCCTCTGGTGCCCTCTGCTCATGCCAGAAACACCACTGGTGAAATTACAGAACACAGCAAGGAAGCACACTCACCAGACCAGCAGCTCCATCAGAAGCAGCGTCAGTGCTAGCATTGAACAGTCACATCTCGCTGTTTCTGCCTGATACTGCAAATATATCGTCAGGTTCAGCAAGGCAGAGAGGGTCCCCCACGTTGCACACACTGCCACTCCATTTTGAACCTTGTACAATACAACGAAGTAAGTAAGTAAGTATTATATTGCTCACCAAAGCTAATGCATGTTAATGCACAATAGAATTATCCATAGCAGCCTGCGTCTAAATCCAAAGAGTATAATAAAAGCTAATAGTGCAAACAATAATTAAGAGCGATTTCCAAAAGT